TGGCAAGCATTTGATGTGGCGTACAGTTAGAGTATAAACAGAGCAATTCTATTAGTAATTCTGTCATTTTGAAAACGAGCACAACTAATTATGTTTTAAAAAAATATTTTTTTTATTTTAATTTTTTAAAACTCAAAACTCATCATTAATTGTGATTTTTTTGTGATAAAAAGGTGTAGAATGTCAAATAAACTGCTAGTATCAAAAGTGCTTTGTTTGTCGCTTCCTTTGATCTTCTTTTCGATAATAAACAACTTGTGTACAAACGACTGCAATATTGCACCAACTGAAACTGAACCGCAGTTGAAAAAACCCTAGTACACCTAGCTGTTATGTAAAAAACAACACCCATAAAAACAGCGCATTTAATAAAAGTAAAACGCATTTCGTCCCGCAAACTGTAAAATCAAATCATGCTGAACATGGAACATATTCATATTCAATCTTTTCGTCCTCTAATTTTCACCACCATTCGAATACTGGTAACCATTTTTGTTTTAAACCTCCTCTATCAAGTGACCATTAGGCGGTACCGTAGATTTACGGCGTTTGCCAAGCTACCTCGACTGCCCCTCATTGGACCGGTTGGCTGGTTGATTGGCAACCTCGACGTGTACTACTACACCATGAGACACCTCGGCGTGGAGGAAGGCAAGCAAACGACATTACATGTTTTTTTGGGAGTTCTATTTTACAATTAAAGCAGTTCTTTTGGATCCTGCAGGAATCGTACAAATTCTCGATGGACTGCGTGCAATTGATGGTTTAGAAAAGCACGGCTTCCTCGGTGCCTACCTCGGCACTGAGCCGGTGGTGGCCTTCTTTCGTGAGGACTCCATCCGAGCGCTGATGACCAGTGCGGAGACGAACACCAGCAAGGGCGACCAGAACGCCTTTCTCTACCCGTGGCTCGGTCGGGGCGTGCTGATTGCCAGTGGCGCCCACTGGAGGACCCATCGCCGACTACTCGACCCGGTCTTTGGGTCCACTAAGCTGCAGCACTTTGTACCGCTGATGAGTGCCCAGGTGCAGCTGATGATGCAGCGAATTGCATCGTTGTCACCCAGCCAAACCATCGATGTTCGCCTTCTGATGGACGACGTCTCGCTGGACATGATCACGGCGACGATCATGGGCGCCTCGGTGGGCGCTCAGCTGGAGACGACCAACCGCGAGGAGTACATTGAGCCGATCAAGGAGGCGACGAAGCTCTTCGTCAAGCGAATCATGAACCCCCTTCACCAGAATGATCTCATCTACAGCCTCTCAGCAGAAGGGCGAAAGTATGCCAGCACAGTCAAGCAGATTCACCGTTTTGTTAGGCAGGTGATTGACGAGCGAAAGAAGGAAATTCAGCAATCGAATTGCTCAGTCGGTCAGCAGAATCAGGACAACAACAACTTCTTCACACTGCTCCTTCGAACGCACCAGCAGCATCCAGCGGAGTTCACGGAGGAGGACATCTTCGGCGAGGTGAACACCTTCATGTTCGCCGGCCACGAGACCACCTCTAGCTCCTGTGTGGCCGCACTTCTGCTCATTGCAGGTGACAATCGAGTTCAGGAGCTGCTGTTCAACGAACTGGAGGAAGTACTGAAGGACTGTGACGCCTCAGTGGGCAGTGACATCACCGTGGAGCACCTCAGGCGGCTGCAGTACCTGGAGATGGTCATCCAGGAGGCAATGCGACTCTACTCGCCCATTCCGCTGATGGTCAAAAAGGTACAGCGCGACCTGGTGGTCAACGGGTACACCGTGCCGGCGGGCTGCTCCGCCCTGGTCTGCTTCACCCTCCTCCACAATGATCCAGGCGTTTTCAACCACCCATCTCCTCACGCCTTCTACCCTGAACGGTTTAGCTCGGAAAGCGAACTCCACCGAATGCCCTACGCCTTCATGCCCTTCTCCGTGGGGCCCAGATCGTGCATCGGCAAAAGCTTTTCCCTGCTCGAAATGAAGCTGGTCCTGGCGGCCATTATTAGAAGGTACCACTTGACGGCGATCACAAGGCGGGACGAGATGCGGCTTGGATTTGCCGCAGTGCTCAAAGTTAGCTCACCCGTGTTGATTCGTTTTGAAGATCGACAGAAGAGGACTACTAGTGTAAAATCGGATGCTAACAGTAACACTTGCTAATGTTTCTGATTGAACGCCTCCAATTAAACTGTTTGATAATTCTGCTATTGGCAATTAAAAAGTAATAACATTTTAGTTTATAACAGTTTTAACAGTTTATAAAAAGTGCACCTAATCAACTAGTAGTAGTAAAAACATCCGCGGTTTACTTCAGTGAATTGTGTAAATGAAAAAATGTACTAATCAGTTTGGTAAACAAGTTAAATAAAAACACTTTTATAATAACTTTAGTAAATTGTAGGGTAGTGAGGATAACATTTCTATTTTAAATGAACTCTAGCTACTGATTGATGATGATGGCNCTGATTGAACGCCTCCAATTAAACTGTTTGATAATTCTGCTATTGGCAATTAAAAAGTAATAACATTTTAGTTTATAACAGTTTTAACAGTTTATAAAAAGTGCACCTAATCAACTAGTAGTAGTAAAAACATCCGCGGTTTACTTCAGTGAATTGTGTAAATGAAAAAATGTACTAATCAGTTTGGTAAACAAGTTAAATAAAAACACTTTTATAATAACTTTAGTAAATTGTAGGGTAGTGAGGATAACATTTCTATTTTAAATGAACTCTAGCTACTGATTGATGATGATGGCGAAACAAAACTCAACCACGGCGCGTTACGTCAAAAAGAAAAATAATCGTGAATGTGAAAAAACAAACAAAACAAAAAACACTTTGCAAAGACTGTTCCCTCGTGGACTAGACTGATTTATGGTGGCAAAGAAGAGGCAACCACTTTAAAAACTCCGTCACTTTTCTGCCGCGCACCTCAGCACACTCAGAATAGACACTTCATCGATCGATAGAACTTGCGCTGACTTATGATGATCTAATCTAGACAAACCCTCCTCGACGCTTTTCTTCAAACTTCTTTTTCTTCTTCTTCTTCTTCTTCTTCTTCTCCAGACACCATCGTGTCGTAAGTGTAGTGTATTGCTGTTGCTGCTGATCAGTCGCACAGCAGACATTTTATGTGCCTTACCAAAACTTATATAAAAACTGATTTCAGCAAAAGGTAAAAAAAGGCTACTTTTCACGTCAAAAAATATGATGATCGTTCCGCTACTTCACGTACTGCCACTTCTAACGCCGCTGAGGCTGATCGCCATCAGCCCTCTAGTGTACTTGGCGTACCGCCTGATTACTCGAGTGATCCACGAGTGGCAGCTAGTGGAACGCTTCAACAAGCTGCCCAAGTTGCCCACTGCCGGCCTGGCCGGGCAACTACTGCTGGGCAATGTCGACGCCTACTACTACTCGATGAGACACCTCTCCATTCCTCAAGGTGCGTTTGAAAACTGTATTTTCATTTTGATTTACTACGAAAAACTAACATCATGATTACTTCTTTTTTACACAAAAAACAACAGGCGCCTTTCAGATGATCTCCGCGGTGTTTCAGTTTGAAAGCCTTCGCAACTCTCCCCACGGCTTTGTTGCGCTGAACATTGGCTTCCAGAAGGTGGTCATCTTCTTCCGCGCCGACACGGTGGAAAGTCTGGTGAGCAGCACGGTGAACATCACCAAGAGTGAACACTACGACTACATGCGGCCCTGGCTGGGCACCGGCCTGCTGACCAGCTCCGGCGACCACTGGCGGCGGCACCGGAAGGCGCTGACGCCCGCCTTTCACTTTAAGCTTCTGGAGTCATTCGCCCCGGTGATGAACTCCAATGTGAAGGTTCTACTAGGTCGAGTGGAGAAACTGACGTCCTCGCCCAACAACAAGGAAGCGATCGACATTCGGGGCCTCATCTGCGACATGGCGCTGGACATCATCTGCGAGACGGCGATGGGCACCAACGTGGGCGCCCAGTCGGAGAGTGATGATAAGGAGGCCTACCGGCGGCCAATTGAAATTGCCACCGAGCAGCTGGTGCGTCGTTTTGTGAATCCCCTCTATCGCAGTGACCTCCTCTACAGCCTGTCGGCTGATGGCGCCGAGAATCGACGTGTGATGGGCAAGATTCACCACTTTGTGAAGAGGGTGATCAAAGAGCGAAAGGAGTTTCTTCAGAGCAAACTTCAAGCTGAAGAAGAAAATCAGCGCGAGAGTAGAGGAGGAGGAGCCCCCGAAGAGGAGCCCTTGGTCAAGGAGAAGCACCCCTTTCTTGATTCACTGCTGCTGACGCACTTCAAGAATCCGCTTGAGTTTACGGAAACGGATATTCTTGACGAAGTCAACACCTTCATGGTCGCCGGTCATGGTAAGTGATAACGATTTTGCCATCACTACACTTTTATAGCTAATTAACTTTCTTTAATATTTATAATTTAGATACCACAGCTGAAGGTATGTGAAAAGGCATGTTTGCACGTATTTTTTATAATTTGTTTTTTATTGAAATTGAAAAACTTAGGCATCATTTGGACAATGCTTCTGATAGGCAACGACAGTCGAGTTCAGGCAGCCATTGCCGCCGAGTTGGAGCAAGTGTTTGCCGGAGAAGAGGATGACTGCGAAATAACCACCGAGCACTGCCGCCAGATGAAGTACCTTGAAATGGCAATCAAGGAAGCCTTGAGAATCTTTCCATCAGGTATATTATTTTTATTGGCATTATTTAGGGGCTAGTCTTAATCTATTGTTTTTTTCTTCCTCAGTCCCATCGGCAGCACGGAAAGTAGATCAAGACTTTACCGTGAATGGACACGTCATTCCAGCCGGCTGTACTGCAATCATCTTCATTCATCTCCTTCATAAAGACCCAAAGTACTTTCCTAAACCCGAGCAGTACATCCCAGAACGGTTTCTGGCTGATTCAGACGTTTACAAGGTTCCCTATGCTTACATGCCCTTCAGCGCTGGAGCTAGAAAGTATTTTTAAACTTTAAAATTTAATTACTTATTTCTCTAACTTACTTGATTTTTATTTTTTTAATTTCATTTTAGCTGCGTTGGTCAAAAGTAAGTGAAGGAAACAATTTTATCTATAGGTCTCCTATTAACATTTTGTTGTTTTATAGATTTGCAATGCTTGAGATGAAGATTACACTGGCTTCAATTTTCAGAAAATACACCGTTAAGGCAACTACCCATCGAGAAGAAGTAAAAGGTCTGTGACTACTATGAACTAACTTGTTTGGAATTATAACTGAAAAAATTACTGTTACAGTTGATTTTGGATCAGTTTTAACTGCTGCATCTCCAGTCATGATTCAGTTCACAAAGAGAGTGCCCACATGAAGATAGGTTTGTATTTCGTAACAAATGTATTTAATGTAATCATCAAAACGATCGTTCATTTATGTAACACAATTAAATTAAAATTACGAGTGTTTCTTTTACACCTTACCGCAGTTGTTGATCAAGTTAATGTGGCTGTTCATGCATTACTTGCCATTTTATATGTTTTTGTTTTTTGTTTCAACCTGGAAGTTCCAATTCTCAAAACACTTATCAAGTACCCTTTTTTGCCTTTTACTTTTGCAATAACTAATGTTTGCATTAAATTTTAAAAATAAAAACCGTAAATGTGTACAGAAATAAACATAACTCCACGCGCTGGTTTATAAAATGAACAGTTTAATTTTTTATCAATATTTAAACATTGACATTGTCTCGAACAGAAGTTGCTCCAATCCAGTGCAGAATCGGCTGACCACTTTAATGAGATTGCTCATTAGTTCTGTTAGTTAGCCAGTAAGCCCAGCAGTTGGTTGGTGTACTGCTGTAAATAGAGGTGCTCACATTGAATTGCTCGTCAGCGGACAAAAGTTGGGCCATTTCACTGTCTCCCATTTGCAGCAGTGCGTCAATCACCTGAATGGTCATTTGTCCCGGCGACAATTTGGCAATTGCTGGCTTAAGGCTTAAGGTCATGTCACTAAACAAAATGTACTAGCTTTGGTTTGAGTGCATTTACTTTGCACGTTTGGTGTATTCATTCATCGTAGCTTTATTATCTCGCTTGCATCATCAATTTTGTTACCGACTGATGTCTTGTCTAAAATCTGCTAAAGTTGATCTGCTGGTGCCTGCACTGTTGTCACCTGTTGTCAGCAGCAGCAGCAATTTCTTTAAGGACTCCTTCTCTTTTCATTTTTCTCAGAAATGAAGAGAAAAGGCTTGGCTGCTTCGAATTATCTGATCAGTACTAGTCATCGGAGGGGGTTTATCTCCTCCATCAATAAAAGCTGCCAGTGTTTTCATTTAAACG